CGATCGGGAAAGCACACGTGGATAAGGAGGGGGCGTGGCACACATCAGGAGCGGACGGAGCAGGGCGTGACCCTTTACAAGTTCTGTCCACTCGCGGGTTCTTAGCCACAGGTGCTTTTCAGCGAGAACTTGCGGACCGATCGGGTATTTCTCAGTCAACACTGAGTCGCGCCATGCCAGCTGTATGAGACGGCATAATCCGCTTGTCACCCAGATATATAAAATTTCTTTACACTGTGGTTGAACAGGCAAATATTAAAGCGCAATTTGCAGCGATGTCCGGTTTTCCCAACGTAGTTGAAGCTATCGACTGCGCGCGCATTGCTAAAAAGTCACCTTCAGAGAACGAATTTGCTTATGCTTATGTAAATAGAAAGCACTTTAACTCTATTAATGTACTCTTTATGCACTGAGGGCACCTCTTGTACTATTATCTGTAAGAATAAACAAACAGAATAAACGAAAGTAACACCGCATCTGCACCCTACATGTTATTCATAAACATTCAAGTAATTCAAACAAGTATGGTACGAGAAAAACTCACCCGCGATGACATCGGCGTCCCATTCACCTGATTAAAGTGTGTCCCCAATCATCGCAGCAATTAGTTGCTCAAAGGGTGTGAGACCGGGAATTCCGTTAAGACTCTTACGGTGAGCAGCCGCTTGGTTTTTTTTAATGTCCGACCATTTCTTTTTTAATTTCGGCCACCGTGCGAATTTCGGAACCAACACTTTTAACTGACTCCGCCACGCTGTGCCACTCCGTCAAATTTAGTTCATTGCTGATGCCACTTATACCACCAAATAATATCACTTTTCTTTTCTCAATTTCTGTTAATGTGACCCCCACTTCGCATTCGCTGAAATACTTCAATACTTTTATGGGCGGGTCAGGGGGGTGGCTGTGGGCTTGTTCATATACATAAAATTTGTGATTTATAAAGGGAATGTGCGTAGATCTGTGCTTATGCAAAGTTTTATGCATCTGGATTTTTTTTGCTTACGCACATTCCTAGTTTTGTCCGTACGCCATGTTTTAGTGTGAATTCTACGCACGTCGTTATACATGAGGCCCCAGGAGAGATGTATGTTTGGGATTGTTGTCATGTTGGAAGACAAAGCGACGACCCAGACCCAGTTTTGCTGCTGACTGCTTAAGGTTTTCTTTTAAGATCTCCACATATATTTCTTTCTTCATAATTCCTTCCACCTTGACAAGATTTCCAGCTCCTGATGCACTGAAACATCCCCACAACATAATGCTTCCACCACCGTGTTTCACTGTGGGGACGGTGTTCTTTGCCTTATATGCCTCTCCCTTCCTTCTCCAAACATAAGCAGTGTCTCTATGGCTCTATAGCTCTAGTTTAGTCTCATCTGACCATAGGACATGCTTCCAGTATGCATCATCTTTCTCCAGGTTGTCCTGAGAATACCTTAGTCTGGCTTGAAGGTGTCTCTTCTGCAAAAGTGGAGTCCTTCTTGGTCTGCAACCTAGAAGTCCATTCCTGTGCAGAGCTCTAGTGATTGTCTTCTTTGAGACCACAATTCCCGACTTGGCCAAATCATTCTTTAGTGTCTTGGCAGTTGTTCTGGGGTCTTTAGACACATCTCTCATGAGTTTCCTTTCCAGGATCTTTGAAATCTTTCGCTTCCTACCTCTGCCAGGCTTGTTCTGTACTGTGTAACTCTTTTTGAATTTCTGGATTATACTCCAGTTCTTGACACTTGGAAACGCTGTGATTCCTTCTCCTGTTTTGTGTGCATCAACAATTCTTTTTCTCAAGTTCAAGCTGATGTCTTTTGTTTTTGGCATGGTGTTTTCTCAAATGACAGCTGAATGACCCTTACTGAGGAGGACCCTCACTCAGTTTTATAGCTTCAGTTTTCACTTAGTTGTTAAGTTAAATCACCATAAGTGGCTTGTACAATGGCTCAATAAATTGTCATTTCTTAAAGGGGGGTAATAATATTGTCCCTGGTTGACAAGATTTTGACAAGTTTTTTCTGAAATAATTCTGCTATTGTGTGCAAATATAAATAATTTATTCCTTCTAAAGAAAACTAATATGTTCAGAAATGCTATGTTGAAAATTCCTTGCTCTGTTAAAAATGCACTTTGGAAAATCTTGAAGAAACTCCAACTTTCATAGGGGGGGTAATAATTTAGCCTCAACTGTATGTGGCGAAGTGTACCATATGGCACAATTGATTGATTGATTGATTGACCACTGGCTACACAACATACTTTACCAAGCAATACACACTAACTGCATATCCTACTACAAGGGTGGGCAATCTTACCCGGAAAGGGCCGGTGTGTTTTACAGGTTTTTTTAGGATAACTGTTCGATCAGTCCTTTACGTACTACTCTAAGTACAGAGTTGCAGCGAAAAGCTGCATGCCTAACGGCCCTTTCTGGGTAAAATTAGCAACCCCTGTAACAAATACAATACTTTGCAGTCTGAGAATTCTCCCTATTGCTCACTAAAGACAGTTGCCAACTTGGTCTATCTAATATACAATCATACCATACTTATGACCAGAGACCCACACAACAATTACGTTTCAAACTACATTTTCAGGCCACTTCACATTATATGTGATCATAGAGCTAAATTATTTCTTATTAGGTATTAAAGATTATTAAATTTCATACTTACACGGTGACTACCCTTCTTAGACTGCATTTTCCACCATCGCTGACATATTTACCCAGAACTAAGCTTCTATCTACAGCTTGAGAACTGTAGTTTGAACTACGCAACTTAACGACAGTGTTTGTGAACGTTCATTCAAACTATGGTTTTGGGAAACACCTGCGTCGTTTAACGATGCATTGTACTACGTAAGTCCACAGTGTCGTTACCTCCATAGTTCGAACTATGGTTTCAGGAAACACCTGCATCGTACTTACATAGTTCGAACCACGCAAGTTGCTAACATAGTTAGCAACTATGGTTTTGGGAAACGCACCCCTGGTTTGCATCCTTTCACCACAGTAGAGCAAAAAGCTTTTCAGATAAGTAGGGGCCGCTGATGTTCTCTGTCGCCCCCCCCTATCTAACGGGGGCTCCTCAAGGGACGGTACTCTCCCCATTTTTGTTCACCATGTACACAGCTGATTTTAAGTACAGCTCCCATCACTGTCACTTGCAGAAATTCTCAGACGACACCGCCATTGTTGGTTGTGTGTCCGGGGAGAATGAGCAGGAATACAGGGGGGTCATCACTGACTTTGTGAACTGGCGTGAGGAAAACCACTTGCTACTGAACACCAGTAAGACAAAGGAGCTGGTGCTCGACTTCAGAAGGAACGCTTCAGTGCATACTCCTGTGAGCATCCAGGGCTCGGACA